CAACAAATATTAAATAATGTTAAAAATTGTGTCTTCAAATGTCTTTCAGAAGACACATCTAGTGCTGCTACTCCTTATTTGTGTAAAACGCAATTATTGAGACAAATATATTTAAAATCAGAAAGGTCTGTTTTTAATAATAATAATATCAATAAACATAACGAAAATATTACATCGTTGATGACAGAAGATAAAATTGTTAGAATTGATTTTGAAAGAAAGAAAATCACATCAACGATCGTAACCAATTATTCCGTCAAGCAACGTAATAAAAATGATGATATTAAAGCTGCGAGCTGTCACATAAGAAAAAAAAATAGCAGTCGATGTCGAATGAATATTGCTTCTACAAAACTACACGCTGAAGAAAATTTGTGTAAATGTAAAATTGCTGAAACGTGCAATAACGTTGACGAAAGACAAACAATTTTTACTAATTTTGCAATAACAAATGATTCCACTGAATCTAAAACAAACAGTTCTCGCAATTGTAATAACGATTTCGCAGATGTTGTCTCTCCTCTTTCTGAATGGTCCAATTGGACGTATTATACAAACACTAAGGAACGTCGTTCTGCGAGAAACATGTGTGACACATCTAAAAATAATACACGACAGATTTTTAAGTGTGCTGAACAATTTGATTTTCTGCCACGAAAATTGCACGGTCTTTTACAGTATCGTCATGCTAAATTAACGGACGTAAAATGCTTTAACAGCCCTAACGATGCACTTTCGTGTAAGTAGTTTTTCGTAGAATGCATGATTAATCCAGTTAAAGAAGTACGTTATCTTCAGTTACAGAAAATTGGAGACACGAACATTCGTTGGGGACGGTGCATCCTTGCAATTTGAGACAAAAGTTATGTGAATTCAGATTGTCACGTGCCGCACTGGAGTGCATAAACGTACGTACACAAGTTCTCGAAGCAATAAATCGTCCGAGACAATGGGATGTTATTTGAGTAAATATATTTTTCTCGCAGACCATTAATCAAGTTAATAACGAGTTTATTGCCGCGTGGCTGAAGTACAATGAAATGAAAATTTTATTAATGATAGATCAACATGCTGTTCATGAGAGAATACGTTACGAAAATTTACTTCTCAGTAAGTATTTATAATAATTTTGCTCAAAGAGAAGTTGAACTTACCTTTGACTGAAGATTGTTGCGTTATCGCTGCACAGTCTTAATTTTTAGTCACAATAATAATTATTATTTAGGATACAAGATGCAGAACGAGGACGAATTGCTTTCAGTTAACTTGCGCGATCCTCTAGCTGTAGAATTTCCTAAACACATGCGCAATTTACTCTTGCGCGATAAAATGTTGCTGAAGAAATACGGAATAAGCTTAGGATCGTTGAAGAAGAATACACTCTTGATACGCACAGTGCCACAATGCTTGGTTACGAATAATGATTATTCCAACAGTGAGAAAATACTGCCGAAAATTCACAGTTTATTACTTGACATACTGAAGAATCGTGATACAACACATCGTTCAAACATATTACCGTTAACTATCCATAACGCTATAGCATCGGAGGCTTGTCACGGTACTCGCCAACATGTTTTATTATTATTTATTATAAGCGAAGGTTTACCAGAGTATATAATTGTTAGTAAAATTATTACATCTAAAATTAATGTCAATTATCACTATATTTTCAAGTGCCACGGATTTATTTCTAATTACTTTATAATTTACTTTTTTATTCTTTCGCATAGGTGCCATCAAATTTGGTGATAAGTTAACCGTGGAACAGTGTGGATATCTGATGCAATTGCTGAAGTATACAAAGTCGCCTAATCGATGCGCACACGGACGACCAACTATCATACCTGTGGTGGAACTATCGGAATTAGAAAACAGAAACGCCAGAATACCTGAGGTAGTATGACAGCTATATTTCCTAATCTTTTATTGCAAATATAAATTTATACTCGGAGAGATCACGGCTTCTTTTCTCATAATTTTATTTTGCACATATTTGAATATATCTATGTACAAATGAGTGAAACGCAGCTTATTATTATGCTGTATAGACATATGTATAACGAACTAAAAGCAAGACATAAATATAATATTGTTTTATGAGTTGCTTTGACAAAAGATTTTTCTGAACTTTATGTCTATTCAAATTTTCAACCACAATTTTATATAAAACCAGAATGGCCTTTTGATTCTAAGCTGAATTTTATCCCGCGATGAAGCCGGCGATCAAAATATCTTTGCCGAAGTAGTTGAACCTCGTAGAGACCAAATTAACGTCTTTTCCGCCCAACGAAATTGGGCAAACGTCGTTCGGGCGAACGTAGAAGCATAAAGTGTAGAGAGCCATCTCCAGCTCGGGTGAAAGGCCTACGAGAAGGGTCGTAATCGCATGCTTCGTGTCCGGCATATTAAAGGCCGAGCGTATCTTGATGGCCTCCCCTTTCTGCAAAGCGCGGTGAGAAACGTGAATTACGTGATCTCGTACGGTAAATTATTAAAATGTACAAAATGTCGCTACTCACATCTCCGAGCTTGACGTCCTTCATGTATCCGCGATAGTCGAGATTCTTCTGCGCCTCCTGTTTAGCGTAGTAGATCCAGTTTTGCGGGCCGATCATGTAGGAGTCGAGTTTTTCCGCCACGAACACCGCCTCGAAACCGGAACTGGACGGCTCGCCTTCGACTCGCTGGAACTGCGAGAACCAGATGCGTCTCATGGTGTCCTTGAACTCGTACTCGTCATTCGGAATGAATCCCTTGTCGACCAGGAACTTCATCGCCGCTTTAAACACGTCGGTTTCCAGGAACTTGTCGAGCAGCTCGGTTTCCTCCTTGCGCTCCTCGGGCGTGACAATCTCCTTCGTCTTGACATCTATCTCGTAATTGTCGTGCAGCGCCAACACGCTCTTCACCGTCGGAATTTCGTACGCCTCGGATTTTACGTCCAGTAAACTGAAATTATTTTTCAACAAATCAATGACCGAAAATCGACCGAAACGCAATTTCTAAAGTTACAACTTAATCAAGTCGCTTACGGCAGAGACGCGTCATCTCCGGTGCCGTCTTCCTTCGTCTCGCCCTGCAGATTCACAGTGATGTACTTGTACGCGTTGTTCTTGTCCGCCTCGAAGAGGCTCTCCGACAGTTTCTTCACTTCGTCGTTGGAGATCGGATAGTTCGGCTGACTCGGATTGCTGCTCTGCGGAGGAATCTGCGAGTTGGCGTTATCGGTCGGCGGTGCGGCATTGCTAGGCGCCTGATCTTTCTTTTCCGCCGGCGGCGGCGACTGGGCCGGCGCTGCCGGACTCGGTGCGTTCGGGCTGGCAGGCGCGCCGTTGTTGTTCACCGGCACCACGTAAGCGTCGCCGCTAGGCTGGGGCTGAGTCTGATTGTTGTAGTAATTGTTGTACGTGATCTCGGTGTGACTGCCGGTGCCGCTGCTTCCAGGACTCCTGCCGTAAATACCGCCCGGCAGCAATCTGTTCACGGCCGCGCTCACGCCCGCGCTCACGCTGGAGTAAACCAGCGCTTCCTTGGCCAGCTGACCGATGCCGGGGCGGCTCGGTTGAAGGACTGTGAGCGCCGGGGCCTGCTGGATGGTCGGTTGAACGTAGGACGGCTGCGCGTAGGACGGCTGTCCGTAAGACTGTCCGCCGTAGGGCGGACTGTAAGCCGGCGGCGCGTTATGATGCATAGACGGATTGTAAGCTTGTCCGTACGGCGAGTGGCCTCCGTAGCCGCTGGAATACGAAGGGTTCATGTTGGGAGATCCTGGGTATGCTGGGGGAGCGTGTCCTTGATTGTAAGGCGTATATCCTGGGGGTGCTTGATTGTGAGACGAATATCCTGGGGGTCCTTGATTGTGAGGCGGATATCCCGCGCCGCCGTAAGCCGGATTGCCAGCCGGCTGCCGAGGGTATCCACCTGGAAATAATTGTCGGTACGATTAACCAGTTCAGTGGTAGACTTTTCCGAAAGATTTGTGCCAAAAGTGGTAAGAGTCAAAAGTTAAAATATCGAAAAACGGTGAAACATGGGTTCAAAGTTTTCGAAAAAGCAACTTTTCCGAATGGGTGTGGATTGGGATTGGGGCGGATTGGAGTGGAAAATGTTAAATGGCACTATGGATCGAGTGGAAACTCATTTGAAAGGGCGTTTCAAGACGAGAACAATGATTTTTGAAAATGTTTACTACGACCTTTCAGTCAAAAGTAAAGTTGGATAAAAAAAAGAGGTGGACTTCCGAAAAGCTATCACCTCCGATTTGGCTTATATTCAGCCTAAATACTTATTTTATCTAATAAATAATATTCCCAAATGGATTTTTGGCGCAAATGCTTCCCAGCCCCCCTCAAAGGTTTAAAGGTAAAACTGTTTTTATTAATTATTTCAAAAAGTACTTGTTGTACGGAAAAAGTTGTCAAACAAAAAATGAAGCTCATAAAAATCTCTACAAATAAGGTCTTATACATATTTTACCTAACTTTAATATTTTAGTCGTTTTAACAATTAACAGTCGCCATATTGGATCCGCCATTTTGAATTTTGCAATTTTGATATCAGATTCGAATTTAACAGCCCAAAAAACCTTAGGATATCAAGTTTTATGCAAATCTGTTGAAAATTATTGGAGTTATTTAAAAATGTACATGTATGATACATTACCACGCTTGGCGCTTTTTTTTTTGTACATATATGATGCATTACCACTCAACTGGTTAAGGAACGTTGTAAAAATTTCAATTTTTGCAGTATTTGCTTTCTTAAATCGCGAGAGGACAAGGATTTTAAGTTGCCCCGATGTGGAATTTCAAATGTATATCATTTCGACAGATCTGATTTTTGTGTTCGCAGCACTGAACTCATCGATATCAATTTTGACTTCTAATACTATAAATACCTGGACTGTACGGCGGCGGATTGTTCGACGGATTGTATCCTGATTGTACATTCGTCGCGCTGGTTTTCGAAGCATGTTCAGATACCGGAGCCGACGGTTTGGCATTGGTGCCGGTCGCTTTACTGTTCCATCCTACTTTGCTCGAACTTGAGTCTCCCGATCCTGCTGATCCTTTTTAACGAGATTCGTGGTGTTATTGAAAGCAAGTTGAGCACGTGAATCCGTGCGAAGCCATAAAAGGCTGAACGGAAAGGTGACTCATTGATTTTGTAAGAGATCTGACGCGCAGATACATAAATATTTGCAGATTGCAGCACGATATTCCGCACAATATGATATGAAGAGAATCATCATTTTATTTTCCACTAGAATTTTGTACGGAATATAGTGCGATGTAGTGAAAGAACCGATGAACGGGCTCGAAATGGAGAGATGTTTATAAAAATATAAATAACAATATTTAGGGATAAAAACGTGTGACATTACCTGTTTTCGCTTGATTTGAACCTCGGCTCCGAGAACTGCTATAGCCTCCTCCGCTGCCGCTCCTTCTTGATCCGCTGGTTTTCCGGCCATCTGTGTCTGCTGAGTATAAACACACGTGATAAATCTTTATGTTTCGAATTTTTATTGAGATATTATGTTAGAGTGAACTCGGATGTCACAATCTATCCTGCATCGTAAAACGCTGAGAGATGATAAAGTTATCTAATCTAGCGTTCTCTTCTGTTCCTAGCGATTTTACTAATGACAATCGTCAAATCTATTGTTCTTCAACAGATTATTTTATAATCTACTGGCAATTGCTTATTCACCGGCTGAATATATACGACCATTCGCTAGACTCAACTCTGAGTTGAGTAGAGTTTTAGAGAAATAATTTCAAGCAATTTTCCACGAGAGCGCTTGTAATCTACATTAGTTGTCATAGATTGCGCTGAACGCTTCAATAGATATTTATCGAATGATAAAAATTATATATTACGAGCTCTGAAGGAGTTTCGGATATACTCGAGCTTTGCATGCAAGCTATCAAGATCGTTTAATGCCGGATCAAGTTTCCCTTGATACATTGACAATGCGGAGCGATTACCGTGTGCGATGATGCCGTAATGGCGGGGCAATTTTCTTTAATAAGTATTCCGTGACCCATACTGGACTTAATAACCTTTTAACCGTATGCAATTTTTGGTCAATTTTGCTACTTTGTAATTTCTGCAAATTCGGAGCCTACGTTTACACGAAACACATGTTCGAAATTGCGTAATATTAGAACATTCGACAATAAAAATTATTAATTCCGAACGCGTGAACGATTATTGCGAATGACGTTTGGTGAGAATCTCCAGTTCATGACGCCTGATTAATGTTGTAGGAGCAGTAATACAATTATATCAAACGCCGACAAGTGAATAATATCATGCGAAGAGCATACGTTGGCGTAGTGACGTCGAAGTAACATGAAAGAGCAATTTGCTGCAATGATTTCACTTATTACGCACTCTATATTTGTTAGTCGATTTATCATCGTTCTAGGTAAATCGCATCTTTTCGATGTCCATTAATTTTCTCAGCTCATTCACTACTTTATTTCGTTGCATCGAGGACACACTTTGTATCAATGTGACTTTAGAATTTCCCATTTTTTAATTAAAAATCTGATTGCTTCTGTTTTGTTCCCTTGCAATTTTTGCAAGATCTTTCAATGTGGCGTGAGAAACACATTTGTACACATTAGAATTCAAAGCTTGCATTGTAAAAATTTAATCATCAACTCATTATTTTAACTTACGTAATTTCCTCGCATATACACGGTGGATTTTTTTAAATATACAAGTCAGATCCATACAACAACCGGTTTCTGTACACAATTTTCGCAAATTTACATTTATGTACTGCACAGTAAATTTTTTTTTCTTAGTCTGGAGTAAATTTTTCCTCAAAACCACTGTAATGATATCTGAGCTATAAATTAGCACCAATAAATCTTGAGTTATAAACGGTTGAAAGTGAAGGGGTTTGCACGAACTAAACAGCTTCCGTACTGCTAATACATAACACTTTAGTTTTATACAACTTTAAGTACTTGATTAAATAAGATTTTAATTCAAGACACAATTACAAGAGAACAATTTTTTTAATTGTGAGAAGAAATAAATAAGTTTACTCTTAGATTAACTGAAAAATTATATTACGCAAATTTGAGAACATCTTGCGTAGATTATTCACATACGTGCTCAACGATGTCATTAATTATAATCTAATTATATAATAGCTTAATGAAAGCGATTACCGAATACGAATAAAAACACAATCGTGGTGATCAGGAAGATCCTGAGTCTCATGTTTGCCGTCGTACTTCTATCGGTTCAAAATATTACGTGTCAATCGGCTGAAAACTCGAGGAACTCGTCTCACACGCACTGTTTGCACACGCAGAGTCGACGCGCTACTACCGTTCGACCTTACACAGACCGGCCTAGACGTCGGTGACCATCATCCGTAACATTGAATGATTCATGCCTTATAGGCTTTCTCTTTCCTCCGCGCGCACTTCAGAACTGGAACCCGCCGATTTATCCAGCAGCATTGATTCAATTAGCATACAATTTGGCATGTCGACAATGTCGCATTTGAATTTTTAGCACATCCTGATCTTTCGGACGCTTTAAAACTTGATAAAATCTGAATTGTCAATTAAGGAACAGTGGCGAATGCTGTGCAAGCTTTCGCAGATTTCTCCCACTTTCTCTATGAATCTAGATCTACAAATTCTTTCAGTTTCAACTTCTCTTTAACAAAAACGTGACGAGGCATAATTTAATTATCTTAATTTTTGTAATCGTTATTGCAATTAAAAGGAAATCTCAAAACGTTTTTAAAAGAAGTTTTAGTAGATTTGGTATATGTTTTATATGTAATATTTATCTTACGAATATTTCACTAATATAATGACTTGCGTTTTGTTTCAGAAAAAATTGAACTTTGCGTCTTTGAAAGGACATCATTGAAATAAAATTTACTCAATCGTATTTTCTAATTATAAATCGCAAAACATTCTCAAACAAGGACATTGTAGTCATACTTTATTTAAGAATTAATGTATTTTTTATTTATTTCAAAGTGAATTAATTATTTCTGTTTATATAAGAAGAGTAATTATCTTTATTATGAGATTATTTACACTATTTATACTATTTATCATTATAACTGTCCTCACATTATATCTATAATTTAAAAATTAAAAAAGCGTAATGTATATTTTATCTATTAATGATTATGTTCAGTAAACAACTGTAGACTAATCAATGTTCAGAAAACATTTGATTGTTAAAAATCTAGAAGTGTCCTATATTTAGATGCACGGTCGTCCTTTTGCGCGTGAACTTGACACGACCGTGTCTCTAGAAATTAATTTATATATTACAATCATTTTTTTAATTAAATTCAAATTACATTCAATAAAGTTCATATTACCGAATCATTGCAATATTTATTTGTACAGAATTAGAAAATAAGAAGCGCAAGATCTATCAGGTCTTTCCCGTAATATCTGAACGAGTGCGTGAAGATGTTGAACTTGGCTCCGCCGAGAGAAACTGGGCACAAATCGTTCGGTCTGGCGTAGAAGCATATCGTGTACAAGGACATTTCAAGCTCGGGAACCGTGCCCACGAATATCGTCCTGTTCGAAACAACGATGTCGTCCATTTTGAAGTTCAACTTGAGCAACGACGCATTCTGAAAACATAAGCGGACTAAGTTGCAGCCAACGTCGCAAATGTACGGTACTTTTCTCCATTTATATCTTATATCTTTACTTTTATATATTGTGAATTAATAGAAAAGTGTAGGCTCCAATAATTTAACAAATAATTAAATAGAAGGCAGAAAGAGCCGTTGCTAGTTATTCATGCAGCATAATTTCTCTTAATGTACATCGACAAAACGTTTCGACCTAGATTAGGCCTTCTTCAATGTCATACAATATAAATATAATAAAATTTAACAAGTAACGGAGAATTTCATGTGAACGTGGAATTAATAAGCATATAATTTCCGTGGCGTGGAATGAAATTAATGAGCTTTCCATGTGCCATTGAGTTAAAAATCAGTGAAAATAAAGAAACCAGGCATCCAAGAAATAAAACCATGGAAGAGTCAGAGAATCAAAAATTTTTTCGTCTGGTATTAATAAAAATTGGTGTGAACGCCATAAGCTGTCGAGATCAATGATTAAAATTGAACACTATTTATCAAGTTAAAGGTTGAAACGGTAAAAATTTTATATATTATGTAATTCGACTCACATCGCCCAGCTTCAAGGTGTCGACGTATCCCATGTAATCAATGCGTTGTTTGGATTCTTGATAATTAAAGTAGATCCAGTCTTGCACGCCGAGAAGATCCATGCCGTATCTTTCGGATGTGAAGATTCGCTCGAACCCTGAAGTCGCGCCGTTGAATTGAGTGAACCAGATACGCCGCAGAGTGTCCTTCCATTCGAAATCGTCCGGATTGACGAAGCCTCGGCTCGACAACCACTGCATAGTTCTGGTCATCACGTTCGTGTGCAAGAATACGTCCAACAGAATGTCCTCCTTCCTCTGCTTCTCGGGAGTGCGGCTCTCCTTCACGGTGGAATCGTGCTCGTAATTATCGTAGAGCGCTCGGATGGCCAAGATCGTCGGGTAATCGTACACCTCTTGTTGCACGTAGATCAATCTAGAAGAGAGACGATCGACTGAAAGTAACAATCACTCGAAGCGATATAAATGCGAAACTTACGGCCCGTGAGCTGCGTCCGTTACATTCTCAGATTTACTTTGAAGGTGCGACGTCAGAGACTTGGATATATTGGCTTCCTGTTTTGCGAACAGTTCTTCGGTCAACATCCACAGATCACCGTCCGATATTTTGTACTGTGGATTGTACGCGGTTGTGCCTTGATCAGCTGTCCCTTGATTGTTTGTCGCGTTGTCAGCGGGTGATCCATTAGGACCTCCCGTATTGACAGCCGTTGTATTCGCTGAAGAACCAGTAACATTGGCATTGTTCCCGGCGATTGTAGGAATTGACACACCCGGAGTGATGGCCGGGTTGTTCACCGGAATTGGATAATTGGGATACGAGACGGGAGCATTCGCCGGAGGTGCGTTCGGTGAAGCCGGCACCAGGGGCGCGTTGCCGGCGGGAGCGCCGTTAAAATAATTATTATTGTAGGTTATATGCGTCTCGCTCGTGCCACCGCCGCCGCTGCCGCTCGCCGGTCCGCTGTAATCGTGCGTATAATGATGATGCGGATTTATCAGCCGGTTCACGCCGGCATTGATGGTGGAGTACACCAGGGCCTCCTTCACCATCTGACCCAGGCCTCTGCCGCTGTCTTGCTGACCGGGAACCATTATGACCGTCTGTCCGGGGATGTACGGCTGCGCCGCCGGCTGCGCCAGAACGTGCTGCTGGGGATAGTAGCCGTGTCCGGGTGCGCCGTACGCTCCACCGGCCGGGTGTGTGGAGTACGGATTTCCGAACGTGTTCGGCACGGGCGGCGGAATGTGCGCTGGATAGCTGGAGGGATGTCCGATCGTCTGACTGGGAGCGGAATAGCTGGGATGGAAGGTGGAATGGGGTTGATTGGCACTCGGATGAACAGGATAAGGCGGTGCGTGTGAATTGGAAACGGGATAAGGAGGACGAGATCCGGAATTGGGATGAGAAGGAACGGGCATTGGGATTGGCGGACGCAGATGGTCTTTGAACCCAACGTTGGAGGTCGAGGCTGGCGGGTAAGGCTGGCTAGGATTGTAATGCGGATTACTCCACGCGGGATTGTTGGTTCCGTGAGACGGATTGTACGGCGTGTTCGGTTGGCCAAAGGAAGTTGGAGCTGCAAGAAGAATTAATCGTGTCGTATTTTCTAAAACGATAATTTTAATATAATCAAAAATTATATCGATTTTAATTCTACGGCAAATAATTAACTTCAATTTCATAAGAGTATAAATTCATGCCGAAAGATGTTGAGTGAATATACCGTGGCTTTGCGAAGGCACTGCAGTGGATTTCGATAAACGATCAACCGGCGCTGATGGATTGTACGGTGCAGATGGATTGTACGGCGCAGACGGATTGTACGGCGCAGATGGATTGTACGGCGCGGATGGATTGTGCGGCGCGGATGGATTGTACGGTGCAGACGGATTATGCGGCGCAGAATTTTGTTTATTCTCCGTCGTAAAGCCTGGCTTTCTTACTTGACCAGGATAAGTTCCTAAGGGAAACAGAACATATTATTTCTTTATAGAGAAAACAATCATGCAAAAGTAGATAAAAATTATTTAACGAAACTTCCCTGATGGAAATATTTTTCTGAAAATTTAACGAAATTTTGCTGAAATGTATTTGAAAATTTCTCTCAATTGACCCCATTAATTAATTTCATAAATATTTCAGCAATTTTTCATTAAAAAGTAACAGTTTTCAGTTTAATTCAGTAAATTTCATAATGATAATTATTTCAAAAAACTCATTACTTTTCAGTAGTATATTTTAACTTTCCTTATATTTCATAGTATTATATTAAATTTTCATACGGAAAATTATGATTCATTTTGAAATATATTCAGTAATTTTTCAAAAACTTTCATTTTACTTTTCATTGATTTCATAGTACTTTCAGCAAAATATTTCCATCAGGGTTGTAGCCCGATTATTATAAATAATAGAAAAATAATTCGTAATACCTGTATTACCGTACGGTGTCGGCGGCCTACTAGGTTGCGCGGAATTAGTTTGAGCTTTGCATAAACAAAACCATTTATATTAAATGCTATTCGATAAGAAATAAACGCTGAAAGTTTGCTGCACTTACCAGGTCGAGTGGCACCTCCTCCTTCAGCATGTATGAAAGTCGTAGACAAGTCTTTGTTCTGCTGATGCGAAGTTTGGCCTGTAATATTTTTAATGTTATGTGTAATAAGATCCCGTATTACAAAAATCTTTCTCTGACACAAACTGTACTCTCTTGAATATTGTATACTCGCCTAACGAAGTCCCGCGTCCACCAGGACTCGATCCCGTGTGGCTGCTCGATGAAGTTCCATAAGGACTTGATCCAGTCACATGCCCGCCTGATGAACTTCCAACCGAGCTCGATCCTGCCACGTGTCCACTTGATGAACTTCCAAAAGGCTTTGATCCTGTTGCGTGCGAATTACTGTATCCGGATTGACTAGAACTCGAACCGGATCCATATTTAGGCGAACTGTGCCCACTTGAAAAGGAGTGCGACGATGAGCTGTATGATGAACCTCGTGATGATGAACCTCGTGACGATGAACCTCGGGAAGATCCGGATCTTCCTGCGTTTACGTCATCTGTAAGTGAAACAAGCATGTTTTAAATTTATGCAAATATTACATTACTGTCGATATAATAAAATACACATTTATAAAAGTTTAATCTGTTGGATCAATATTTGAACAAATTTTTGTCATAATTTCCTTGATTTATGTAATACAGAGTTATTTTTTATACAAAAATATATACTTACCGATTATGAAAAGCGTGAAAAGAAAGAGAAGCAATAAAACTCGAGTTTTCATCGCTATATGGAAGTCTTACAATGGTTCAAAGAAACTGACACGTGTAACGGCTATGGTATAATGAGTTTATATATTGTTATCAGCCTTTTTTTTAATATTTATATTGCGTCTTTCTCAGAACGATGCAGATACATATGAAAGATGACGTTATTGACCTATAAACTTACTGCTGATAAACGCTGATATGACAAAAAGCTACTACTACATATTTGAGAATCAACACTATTTCTAACGTAAAATTCCAAATATTATATTTTTTAGACATACAGGGATTTCCGCTGCAACTGCATCAAACTTTAATAATTATGCAGCAAAATTTAATCTAACAAGATAATAAATATAGAAAAATGATATCAGAGGCTTCAAAGTTAAAACAATGATAAATTAAGGAGCAAAAAGCCTAACAGAATGTTCACAACAAACGTTTCGACAGGGTTGGGAAAGTTATTTTGTAAAAGTATCTAGTTAAAGTTGCAGTTCTTTTCACTAAAAAAACAACTAGTTACAGTTACAAGTTACCGACTCTGAAAAGTAACACGTTACAGTTATAGTTATTCAAAAAGTAACGAGACGTTACTTTTCAGTTACTTTTTTGCAATAAATGTGCACTACTATTTTAAATATAAGAATCTTACATTTCAAGATTTATTAACTTATTATATACTACATAGGTACTTAATTTTGTGTTATATTATTTTATATGTAATAAATCACAATTGTCTTAAACTTAAAATATTAAATTAATTAATAATTTAAAATAAATTATTATACACTTAGAATAAAAATTATAGGATTAAGATTTTTCAGTTTAAAAATTCACGAATTTCACACAAACAGTTGTAACTTTCTGAAAAATCGTAGACTAATATTTCAGTTCTTCTTAAAGTCTCAACTTTATATTTATATGATAATCATCCTCAAAGATAATTTATTACTTGGTGGCAGTGCATTCTTTAAATAAGAATTTGTTTATTTCTGTTGAATTTCATAATTAATATCTATACGTTTATCCGTCTATTTATTTAATAAATATCGAATCTACACTTAATATGACAAATTCCATGACAATTTTGTTCCTTTCCCAATGCATATGTTTATGCGACTATGTAAGTGTGTCTGGATAGGCCCTAATTCTTACAATTAATACAACCATATATAGAATATTAAATTAACTGTTAAATTAGTTACTAGTTACCATAAATATGTAACCAAGTTAAGTTACAGTTATAGATAAAGAAAAAAAAACGAAGTTAAGTTATAGTTACGAAAAAAATAACTGTAACTGTAACTTCGTTACAAGTAACGAGTTACTTCCCAACCCTGCGTTTCGACCTGTAATACAACACTGAGAAAGGCCTAACTACAGGTCGAAAGTTTGAATATTCTGTTTTGAAATAAATACGCATGTCCATCCAGTATAGCCTTTTTGCTCCTTAATTTATCATTGTATTAATAAATATAGATATAAATGTTTAATCTTCATCACATGTTTAATCTTTTATACAATCTTTTATACATCAATTTGTACAAACATTTTTTATTTGCATATTTTTAATTGTACTGCATTATTTAAGTATTTATTTCTTTGTAAGTAATATCCCATCACCATTAATGTTTCATATCGAGGGTTTCATAACAGAAGGGCGTATCTCCAATTTTTAGGAATTAATATTTTGCAAATCTAGAAGTGTGTCTGTATTTTTAATGCCTTCTTATCCAAAATTTATGAAAATTGCAGTTCTACGTACAAAATTCAAATTTTAAAACGTTTTTTTCGTTCCTGTAAAGTTGCGACTTCGGGCTTACACTTCTATGTAAACCCTCGAAACCCTCAATATAATTTTCTTAAACTAAGAATACTTCAAATGGAAAAGTAATTTTTTTGCATTATCTATCTTCATTCTGAATGTATTTATCTAAAATTGCTTCACTTGGATAATCCGGGACTGACAGTTGTCTGAATCCTTCATCGTCCACAAAGCAAATCTCATGCCCGTCCTAAAAGCACAGTTATCAACAACAAAGGTTTATGAAATAATAATAGTGATCGATAATATAGTAAGTTCACCAAATATTACAAGTACTTACTGGATCAGCAAGAATAATAACCCTTACAGAAGCTTTTCCTGGCGTATCTAGAGTTATAAGATCAGTCAAGATTTTATTTCCACTTTCTTTAATAGTTTTTTGAATTGACGGTTGCTCCGAAAGCGGCACTGCGAAAGCTATGCGTCCATATGCCTTTGCATGATTAACTTCAGTACCTAGCATACAAAATTGATTAATAACAAATAACAATCGATATTTAGATGACGGTAAGAAATTAAAGCAATCAAATTAGATAGTGTACGCGTACTTACCAATATCTTGAAATTCGAGCTTAGCTTGGTCTTCACTGTAGCCCATCAATACACTTTTATCCTTCCGATCAAATATCTTTAATCCCAGAATGTCCTTCCAATACGCAATAGTGCGTTCAAGATTAGAGCTGGATAAAGTAACTTTGTCTACTGGATCTGTTCAAAACATCAATGCATTTAGAAAATAATGTCACAAATTGATTTTGTATCAGTAGGAATTATTCCACATAAATTAACTTTTTGTGCTTACCACTGTTAGCAGGACACTGCTCATTAATAAGATGATATTTATATCCACCAGGTGCTTCCACTACAAACTTCCCATCTTCTTCTTGTACAGGCCAATTATTAGCACGCGCTCTTTCAATTGCATCTTTGGAACGAATAGTGATGGCTTTAAAATCATTTCCAGTTTCATACTCTTTAACTCCATAATTATATGTTAACTCAATCACAAAATGTGTATCTTCAGGGCCATATCCTATCATTGTTTTGCTCCAACGATTTGCATATGGTCTGTGAAAAGAATACATTTATAATATGATATATCACAACTTTAAGTGTTTTATATAAATAAGCAACGTGATGCAATCTTTTGAAAATGTGCAGAATGTCATCAACATTATATCAACAAGTTGTAATCAATTATTTGACAGTATCACATGTGTTGGAAAACCGAATTAAAAAGATAAGATAAGCAAATGTCATAATCATAAAAGCCATAATAGCAGTAAAATAAATAACGAAAAAATGGAAATTCTGCTCTCCTTTTCATTATTTTGAATATATAAAAAGTATATAAAAATAATAAAATAAATAAATTAATTAAAAAAATAATAAAAATATATAAAAAGTAGATTAACACATAAGAGTAATGTCTAAATGACAATGCAGAAATGATTTTAATTATATGACTAATGACAAATTACTCACCCATTACAGGCAGCTTCGCATCCATCTGAGAATTCTTCGTGCCTTAGCACCTACAAAGGAAACAATTTGAAAAATTTGTAACCGGCGAATCGAATTATTTGAAAATGGGAAAAGAGAGATTACCTTCATTCCGAGAATCTCGCGATAAAATTTCGCGGTTAACCTACGATCAGGTATCTTGAATACAAAATGCAACGCACGTCCGGAAACCATTTTTCTCAGAAACCTCGCCGTGTTCGTTTCCTACAATGCAACCAGGAAGATTGTAACCGACTGAATTGAGACAGAATGAGCGGTTCGAAGCGGACGTAATTCTCATGCGCAGGGAAAAGGGAGGAAGTATGTCAGGGCCGGTAAAGGCCTTCAACTTGGATGTCAAATTAATTTAACGTCCAACTAAAGCAAGCATAATTCTTTTCTCATTAGACAAGTTTATCTAGGCAATTTAAGAAAGAAATTGCTCATTGCTTAATATCAGAAAAAGCATTTGTGTAATCAATATCTTTGAAAATAATTAAGCATGTTTATAAAGTCGACAGACTCAGTCTTGTTTTTTCGGTTCCTTTTTTTGTTACTATTTTTTTCAATAAAGCATTAATAAGCATTAATAAATATTAGATATTATATTAAACACGTAATGATGCACAATAGTAAAAAATGTCCTAGTAAAGTGTCGTCAATATGAAATCAATATATAAGTCGACGACGCGCGTGTGTGTGTGTGTTATATTAATGCTACCGACACTTTGCTACCTGAAGTTATTAATTTATATAAAACAAGAATTTATATTTTCGTTTCTCACAAGGTTCTCAATGTTACCTCTTAAATATACACGACTGAGAGCGAACTATTACGCATGCGTTACGGATGTGTATTTCCATCTAGCAACAGCAGACGACACGAACATTCAGAGCAGGTGGAAGTGTCAAAGTAACATATGTACTTTATGCTTGCTGATGAAACTACAGTGAGCTATTAGTCGAAACATTGTTTCAGTCAAACATAAATTATTCACAAGTTAATTTTCCGGTAGATATGATAGAGAATCTTGCAGCGAAACTATGCTTACTTTTACCGGAAAATGCCAACACAGGTACCTATGAATGTCATTAAACAGATGAAATAATAATATTTTCATATATTATAAGTTATTTATATAAAAATGGTAATTTATATGTGCACATCCTTATGTAAATATAAATACTGACGCTTAAAACACAAGATAATTTATAAAACACATAATAGACAATAATCATAATGACATATAAATTGATATCAAAGCTGTTTATCAGAAGAGATAATCTTTGTTTTCTCAGCCGAACAATGGAAGCTACTGGGACAAGAAAAAGATGGATCAATACTTATTGGATGGATGGAGGAATCAGAAAAAAACGATGCATGCACATCGTGCACCGTAGTCGGTTGTTACGACCAGATTAACAATAAATTACAGGTGAGAACTGCAACAAATTTGCTTTCCTTTACGTGTAAGTGTTTTAATCTTTGATTATATTTAGATATTACATCGCTTTCCGGAAGTATTAAACATTGTTCAAGCTACGGTCAACCAAAGTCACACTTTAATGGGATATGTGACAAAGGAAAAGAGTCACCTAGAAACGACAGATTCTCCCGAACATCAATGCTCAGATCACAATGCAACCAATGAATTCTACAGGGCGTTTCTCGTGGAATTGACAATTGACGATACCAAAGTTCACAATCTAGAGATGGAGAGATCTAAGCAAGTGCGGATACAATTTTTGTACAGAGAGAAGGAACAGCTTGGTGTGGACAAGTTTCTGGTGCTAATACATCACGAGTGTAAGTCAGTTTCACTTGATTTAAGCTCATATTGCATTTGTATACAAATTTTGATTGAACTCTTTAAGGTATTTTAACGTACACTGTTCAATTCGACGCATCTGTAAGTGATTCGAGACCGATAAAGGAACTAAAATCCGAAGTACTTGTGAAAACGTTCATATGGGCTCAGTGGGACATGGTTAATCAAGTACTCTATCACATACATCATCGACGAATTCCTACGAGCGTGGTCACCGAAAATGACGACGAAAGTAATTCTAGGTCCTCAAAGCCGACACTCAGCGGTCTTCAATTTCATGATAATTTGCCTCATGAAACAGTGGTGAGTTTTCTTTGATGAGATCCGAATTCTATTCTTCGATGAAAATAACAAGGATGTGTCTAAACTCAAAATTTCTATACAACATGTGTCACTAACAGTCTATAAAAGCAAGCTAATGTGCTAAACAAATATCTAACCTGTTTGATGATGAAACTGGCAGAATGCATGACGCTTAGTGTAACACTTGTTCTATCTTTTTAGCTGAATATTCCGCTAAATTTACCGCTACTGTCGCCGTCCTCTAGTTGCGGAACTTACGAAGACGACGTAATACCCCTGCGAGTCCACGATTGCTCCCTAGATCTCATAGTGGTGTCGGATTCCAAGGGGATGGTCTGCGTTTGTCATTACTATCTCTACCGGCCCGTGCAACCCCCGCAACACGTGCTCAATTCCTTGAACGAATCCAACACGGTGCACTTCGCGTACTCGGTGACGCTGCTGCATCACAGCTGCGTTATCCACTGCGTTATACCGGGCATAGCGTGGTCGCGCGCGAAACTGATCAGACCGACCTTCGCGATTTACGAGAATCATCACATGATAGTGTTTGTGCCGGGACTGTTCGCGCATCTCCTCGAGATTGGCGTGAACCACGAGCCCTGCTGTCACATACTGTGCGGCCCGCCACCGTCGATCCCGTCCCGCGCTTCTTATCTGATTCCGTTACTCGACTTGGACAACCCTGGCAGAGGAGCGAGGAAGAATTCTCTTCACGGTAATTCAGACGGCAAGATCGGTTGTTCGGAGGGAAGTGGTTCGAATGCCAACACGAGTATATTGACGATAGACTTACCTACTCTGGACCTCGTGCAATTGGCGATCCCCCCGGACTTCCTCACTGAAGTCTTTCGCAAAGAGACCTCGGTCGAGATTCGCTTGGGGATACTTCATTATTTCCTCTGTCACAAGAGTGACATAGACGTTATCGCGGAGTTGATGTCAATTATTGCGGAAAAGCCGCGTTCGCTGGACATTTCGCGCTTTATGCAAGAAATTCTCATAGGCAGCTCTTACGCATTGGTGCAGAAGAATCTTCTGGCGGACACCGTTCCTTTGCTATCGCTACTGCCCGTCACTACTGTAGGGGATTACATGACTTTTGACATAAAAATGAACGACTTGGATATCACGTTAAGTCACGAAAAACTGTGGAACACATCGGTGATGTTGCTCTCGCCGCAACAGAGACTCGTTCCTTACCGTAGTGACCTGTGGACTAGACTGTGGGATCAGTTGAGTAAAAATGGTGATAAACTGAGATTCAAACCTAGCCACATCGCGGAGAAGCTATTAGTTTCTTTAGCTTGTTATCAACCGGAAGCACTGTCCAGATGCAGCACTCCGATGTCTCCAAGCGGAGGGTAACAACATTTCTTGATCTAATTCCGCATGTAACTGATTGCATGTGTATGTGTAACATGAAAGAGCGAATGTGAACTGTGTTCACTTGCTTATATTTCTTTTACGAGCATCAAAACGTACATTTTATCTGTTACACAATTTGAACAAAATTCTTGTCTCTTTCCAGTAATTTAATTAATTTCATAAATAATCCATTCGATGTTACAGATTCGTCGCGGTACCGCTCGGAGACTTCATGGGCAATCGGACCATCAAACTGGACTCGGGCCTTCCGTTTAACGAGACGGAAAGTTGCACCGCCTCGAAGCAAGAGCACATTGTATCGGTTAATTTGCGAGAGCTTTCCATGTATCTTCTGAAAAATGGCACACACACGTCGACTATGCAGATGCGAGGCTCCTGCACTCCACTACACGTTCATGCCATGGCTACGAGATACGTGGCTGCGCAATTGGAAGCTTCGCGTATACTGTGTCAAATACTTTGTAGAGCAGCCGGAGTCGATCCGAGAATCGAGCAAGAACGTGGCTTCGGTCTCATGTAAAATAATTTCTTTTTCTTTGGCACAATTTAAAATTTATCGCTGGATGCTGAAACATAAATTCACAATTCGCAGGATAGATTGCGTCTAAAATAAAACTCGTTTGTTTTTGTACCGAATGTTTTTTTTTATATAACTCTTACTTTTTGCAGAGACCAATTGGACGAAGCAAGACGATGGCTGCTGTTCATGCTCTTGCAGCGATACAGACACGCTGTAGAGAGCATTGCTTTCCCAGCGCCACAGGGATTTGCGTCGTTCTTCACTTATCTCGGTTATCGCACTCTTAAATATTCAATGTTTCTGCAATACATCGAACGCGCGATATTTGAACTTCAAGTTGACGTCACAAAGATTATTCTAGCTGGTACGTAAAATTTACAACAAAAAATTGCCGCATGTTACGATTTTTCAAACACAGTCTGAAGATTATTACTGCAAATAATTAACGTAAATTAATTTTTGTTTAGACATAAGCGACACGAAGGAAAATGTTGTTCAAAAATTGAAATTGTTATCCTTGCTGCCAAGATCTCGCGCAAAGAGACTTTTAAATCAATGGCTGCATCCAGTTAGTTTGATGTTGCGAGCTAGAGAACATGCCGCTAATATTCTGTGCGGTGAAATATCTCAGAGTCGCACCGGCAGTCGAACTTTACAATACCGTAATCATCACAACAGTAAGTGAAATATACGAGTAATTTTAAATAAGCACAAATGGAATATAATAAAACAGAAATTGATTTCAGGTTTGGCAGCATTTCCTTCTGCAGATCGTCTGTCGCCGTTAGATACCTTTCTGGATTTGCTTACCGCGAAAGGTGAGAATTAATGAAATGATATTTTTTAATGTAATTCATATCATATTGTCTTCGGAACACTTTTAAAATATATTATTAATTTTTACAGCTAGTCTAACAGAACTGGATTTTGGACTGTTAATAGAAGCAACAGTAACATCTACAGAAGACTTTCTGTAATAGAAATTGAATTTGGTGCTTATAATCGTTAAAAAATATTCAGGTAAAGATTGCTTTGATCATGACCGAGTGATCAATTAGGTCTTAGATTTATATAATATTTTTATGTATTTGACAGATTTTATTTACTTAAAAATTTTGCAATTTAAATCTTCTTTATTTATTAACTTAATTTTTTAATTAAAGAACGATAATTGCAAGAAGTACTTACAATTATAAATAATTGTTATTTTAACAAGAATCTCCAAAGTGATAAGTGCTATTATGGTTTAATTACCAGCAATGACTGTAAAATTCAATATCAACAAGCGAAAGTAATAGGAATCATTGTGCTTGGCAAGTTTAATTAAAAGTATTGTATATCATAGGTATTCATGAGTTCATATTTTAAAGAGATTTACTCGGTCTCTTACAGTAAGTGAGTAATTAATTATTCAGGCATAAGGAGACAAAAAGTGAGATAACAATATTAATTGTAAGCATCATCTATTAAAAAGCACATTCATATGTGCATCCATAGTTTGATCAACTCATTCTTGTGTGAGCGTAACAAGCATGAGAAAAAACTTTAATTAATCAACAATTTTCTATAATAGACGCTATTTGACGTTTAGCATGTAAGAAGACATATGTGATATACTAGATTAATATTTGACGTCTTGTAATGTGTGTTATTAATTGTGATATATTGTATTATATATTAATATATAAAATATTAATTCCGACAGTATTAACAATCATGCTTAATAATGAGATAGGATAAAAATAATATCATTTCTTTTACACGAAAAAATATCCTATAAATTAACATGTGCGGATTCTGATTTTTTTCCTCCCTTTTTCCTTTTTTTATGAAACACGATATAAAAAATTAAAAAAATTTAGAATAGTGTTAAGGGTCGACAGGAGTGACAGCCCGAGTCCGAATTGATTTTGGGAGCCTCATATGCGGAGAAACTAAGGCAAGGATAGACAAATCCTTGTCTCTCCTGTAATAGCTTTTCGAAATACGAGTACGAGCTGAAAATGCTTTTTAGCCGTCTTGCGGCAAAAGATAGTAGCGTAGTAAGGCTAACGAGAGCCCGCTTATCATACATCTCATATTTGCGTATGTATGTAAATTGTTCATAAATATTACATGCAATGTTTTAGCAAGTATAAAAGGAACTTGTATTTTCTCGATAATAAATTTCATTGCCCTGTATATATATATAATATTTATCAACAATTTATATACATATAACCATATGCAAATATAAAAAGTACGATAAGCGGGCGCTTGCTAGTCTTGCTACGCTAATGCGAGGTGTTTGTTTCTTTTTGTTAAGGCACTAGATATGTAGGTATTCTTATCCGCCATTTTGGTTCCTACTAGATGGAGAATTATAGCGTATATAGTATAGCTTATACGTACGCCATATTATACTAAGCTATACTATATACGCTATAATTCTCCATCTAGTAGGAACCAAAATGGCGGATAAAAATACCTACATATTTAGTGCCTTAGTTTTACGTGATCCGCCCATTGAACTATATACCATACTGGAACGAGCACGGGCTACCCCCTCCATTCGACAAAACGGTCAGACAAGGCAGTGACTCGGTACCGGATTTCTCTTTCTATCTCGTCTACTCTCGACTAATAGTAGCTGTGAACACGTGACCAAAACTGTTGGTTAGATAGAGAGATCCGGGTCCGAACAGCTATCTCCATCTGACCGGTCGAGAACAAAGGCGTGCTCGTTCCAGTATGGTATATCTATCAAAAAATTACTTTTTTTAAAAAAAGGTAAAAAAAGACGCCAAGTACACGCTCTTGTTACAACTAAAACAAAACCATATTGTTTTATCTTTTAAAAAAATTGTCGTATATATTAAACCTTTCAAAAAAACCTGTCATAGATATTAAAACCTTTAAAAAAAACTTGTACATAGTAAAATTTTTAAAAAAGCTATTATATATACTTTCTACAAAAAAGTATGATATCAGGAAATGGCACCAAGTGGGACTAAAGAACTATGAATAAAGTTGTACACTATTTCTATAAAACTCTTCTATAAAACTCTTGTACATAAAGCTGTCGTATATA